TGAGAGAGACCTCGACCTGTCCTGAGAATATGGCAAACCAGAGGCTACCACTGGTGTCCACGGGGGCAGGAGCCCATCTGACACAGAGCTGAGCAGCTCAGTTACAGGGACAGCAGCTTTCAGAGATCCCCAAATCAAACCTTTCAGACCTACTTTACTACTGCAGTCTGTAGAGCAGCAGTAGGTGTTACAATAAAACACACCACACTCGAACGGCGCTGCTGAGAATTAATTAAAGCTGGTGTTCACTTTCATCTTATACAGAAGATAAAAGTTACTTCTCTAAATATTCCAGAGGCTGCCATGCTCATATCCAACCACGCCAGAGGAGAGACCCCAGCTCTCCCAAGCCTCGGGGTTTTCCTCACAAAGAAAGATTTCTTTAGGTAAGGACAAGGCAGAGCTCGTGCTCTCAGTTAAAGTCCTGACGGCTCAACTTTTCATCGAGAAACCACTGACACAACAAGCAGTTTCTGCCCGTGAGCTGACCCTCGCAGCACAGAGCCAGCACCTTGGCATCCTTCGGCACTTTACATCACTGTGCCTATTATTTAACAACTTATCTTTAAAAGACCAAACCAAACCCCCTACCTGCTGGCCCACGGAGAAGGCCTGGCTGTTGAACTGCTGGATGAACTCCGCAGCCATCTTGTCCGTGTCGTAGGGGTTGGAGTCAATGTTCTTCTTCTGCAGAAAGTCTATCTCAATCGTCATTGTGCCGATGCACTGCTTGGCCTTGTCGAAAGTGTATAAGGAAACTGTTAAAAAAGAAGAGAAACAGCACGTTTCAGAACAGCAAGGTCTTCCCACGATACATTAAACATCCTGTAGGTTTAGCAATACACGTTCTTCCATTCAGAATGGGTTCTTAATAAAATTGAATATATTATTTCTGACAGAGACCCTTATTTTTCTGACATCCATGTTCCACTGCAAGATCAAAAATACAGCAAATGTATCTCCACTGAAAACCTCCGCATTTCTTTAAAACGTCAAATAGTCTCCCTTAAGACAGCTCAACCACCATACGAGCTCTGGGGGATGAGGACAACGACAGTGAACTCACACACACTGTAGCACCACAACAGCTGCATCTACGTCTAAGGGTTTGGAGGACGTGTCCTCAGAAAGCCCAAAAAGGAAGCACTAAGATTGGTCTTGCCCAAAAGAGCAATGACGACAGGTCATAACTGGTTTTAGAATCATAGAATCATAGAATCATTGAGGTTGGAAGAGACCCTTGGGATCATCGAGTCCAACCATCTCCCCTACTCTACAAAGTCCTCCCCTACACCATGTCCCTCAGCACTGCATCTAAACGGCCCTTAAACACAGCCAGGGATGGGGACTCAACCCCCTCCCTGGGCAGCCTGTTCCAATGCCCGACCACTCTTTCGGTGAAAAATTCCTAATGTTCAGTCTAAACTGTTGCAACAGATTGACTAGCTCTTCTCCAGGTTCACAGAACCATAGGATCATCCAGGTTGGAAGGGACCTTTCGGATCATCAAGTCCAACCATCAACCCAACACTGCCCAAACCACCACTAACCCATGTCCCTCAGCACCACGTCTGCCCAGCTTTTAAATACCTCCAGGGATGGTGACTCCACCACCTGCCTGGGCAGCTTGTTACCTGCATGTTCACTGCAGTGGTGTCATCTATCAGGCTTCTACAGCCCAGAACAGAGCATCAACTGCCCCTCGGGTCTGACACAGAGGAAACAGCCCCTACCCCAGGGCAGATGGGCCCACCTTAACATGTCCCAGGTTACCTTCAGTAATGCAGAATCAACTGAACGGCTCCTGAAAGGGGGCAGAAAGCAAAGTGGCATAGAAGGTACTTCATGGTCATCGTCAACCGCACCTAATCCCCACAGCTACATCAAGTCAAAAACAAGGGGTCACATAGGGCTGTTGCTGCTGGAGGAAAGAGGGTAGAAAGCAAAGAGCTTGGTCCACAGCTTCAGGGATAGTGCCTCAGCACAACCCACCAAAGGATGGGATCTCACAGAGCAGACAGCCCTAATAACTCCCAAACCAGGCTGCAGCAAAGGATGTTACTCCAGAAGGCTGAGGAACATTACAGGTTTGCTTTGAGTCTAGAGAAGGAAGTCCCATCTAATACAGAAGTCCCAGCTAAGGATAAAGCAGCAGGAGGTGAACACGGGAAATGTACCTCACCCATAACCTACTATTTCCTATCAAGCCTCTTGGCAGTCGAATGGTTCCTGAACAAACCTGCAGGTTCCTGGGAAGATGTGGGAAGAACAAGCACCCACTGTGCTATGATACAGGATTTGTTCACATTAGGAGAATAAAGAGAGCCTTCACCTTGCTTAAGCTGTTACCAGAGGGTCATCACAGTATGTGCATTTAACACCCTTCCTGGTATCAGAATAGGTCACCTGGAACTGAGCTGTCAAGAAAGATTTTGTGGGAAATGGGGATAAAGATGGAACACCGAAGCACTTCCCGAATTGAGGTATAGCCACTGTATCAACCACTTCTTTCAGAAATGGCAATGGCAGAAGTGATGTGGCAGTTAGTGATGGGTTTCGTCAGTGCCAGGTCAATGGTTGGACTAGATGATCTGAAAGGTCCCTTCCAACCTAGACCATCCTACGATTCTGTGAGTCAGAACTAATGAAGGAGGGACTTTGGTCTCACAGGGGCACAACAGGAGCTCTTCTCACCTCACAGGTCACTTCAGGGAGGTCATTTCCCTTCAGTTGCCCATCTCAGGGCTCTGTCAAACAAAAGCTTCCAGAGAGAATAAAGTCCCTGAGTCCCAGGTCACATCACAGAGCGGAGGTGCCAGCTGCAGACGAGCAGTCCTTACATCAGGGACCAAATGCTGGGGATGCCTGGTACAGCATCCCCATCCTGCTGGGGTCCAGTAAGCATCACACAGCCCCAGATCCAAATGCCTGACACGTCCTAGAAAAAAGCCTGAAAGATCCTAGAAACAGTGGGGGAGGCTGAGACGGCGGCAGCGACCTCCCAGGGCTGAGGATGCAGCTGAGGCCCCTGGCTCCATGTTCACATCTGCAGCAGTAGCTCAGGAGCTGATGAAGCTGAACCACGCTGAGGGCAGGACAGGAAGGAGCTGCTGAAGGAGGAGACCTCAAGCCAGCACTCAACCTTCCCACAAAGGTAAACTCACAAGATTCCCTCCCCGGGAAAGCCTCCACCGCAGCATCAGGGGCTCGATGGGACTCCGCTTCACTGCACCACTAAGCAGTGGCTGCATTTAAAACTGACATTTAAATCATAGTTTTCCCATTATTAGGAGAGCAAGACAAAGAGAGTGCCCTGGTAAATCACTAGTTTTACAAACACTTCTCCCTACCTGTAGAACAGCTTTACAAATCCCTTGCGCTCAGGGGGGAGTCATCTGACATTTAGTCACTCTGCAGAAAACTACTGCATGATTTTTGTTAATGCCTGTTCCCACGTAGCTGGTGAGTTTATAGCAAGGTCTGGTAAAGTGCAATCACAAATCTGCTCTAACAGCTAATCTTGCTGAATATTAGTGTTTCTTTCCCCAAATAACATTAGTACTAAAAAGCATTTATGTGTGAGCCAGCTGGCACATGAACAGCAACCAAACAAGAGTGAGAAGCAAATTAATTTATGGGTCTCCCCCTCTCCTTATAGGTTATTCTTCTGTTTGAAAAAAAACACACACGGTCATCTAGCAAAAAGAAATGGCTTCCAAGCCAGATCTGTGAGGCATCCAGTTGTGTAGAGAGGCACAGACCCACTTTGTCACTACAAAGTGAGATCCACCAAGACCTCAGATGTCACACACAAGAACTGACCCAGGCCCAGGGACCTGCTGAGACCAAGGGGGATGGGAAACAAACAGCCAAGGAGCGAGGCTCCCTCACAGCATCCCCAGCAGTACTGCTCCTCCGTCTGTGTCCTCCTCACTTCTTGACACAGGATGGGGTCATCAGCTCTGCCCAGAATCCTCAAATGAGAGGAGAATTCCCTGCAATCACTGTGAACACCTCAAGAGGCAACACAGTGGCAGAACAAACAGTTTGCTCCACCTCAACGACCATGAGCCAGTCAAATATTAGAGCAGGCTTCACCACAGCATCCTTCTTGGAGAAAAGGAGGAGATGGCTGTCCCCAGGGGCACATGGGCCACCCCTGCTGGTCAGAAGAACAGACCTGATCCACTACCTTGATCTGCTGTTGCAAAGAACATGGAGACCCTCCTGTAAGAAGCTGCTGCCAGGAGTTTGGCCAATATTCCAGAAGCTACAGATTAAAAAGGAGCACCTGAAAGTGTCAGTGATGCCAATTGTTCAAAAACTAGAGGTATCAGTGACAGATGGTGGGAATAAATGAAAGACAGGGGGTGCTTGTCCAATTGAACATTGGCAAAGGCTTGTCAGGCTCAATTAAGACTTGAAACTGGAATATAAATCTCCAATCTGCATAAACTCGAGATGGCATCCCCTCTCCCTTCACCGCAGTGCAGAATATTCTGCTCAGTTATTGGGGAAGACATCGGTGCTGCTCACAAAGCTCATCACCCTCTGGTACACACCTCATCACACCGCTGGCTCCGGCAACTCTCAGCACTGAACCTTCCCCATCCTCCACACTCCAATGTCGATACCAGGAATAACCCCAGCACCAGCTGGTTTCTGTGAGCTGGGGAGAGTTCTCCAAAGCCACAAGAACAGACCACCCAGGACATGTTAAATGCTCACACCTGCCTGTGGAAACTGAGTCCCACACAGAGCTATGCTGAGAGACCAGCAGGTGTCTGAAAATAACAGTCAAAGTAGTCCTCCAGGTTTGGAAATGTTAAAAGAGAGAAAGCCCTGCAGATACCAGAGCAAGTCCCTTTCGCTAATGAGGGCCTCACGTTACCTGAAGAAGGGCTGAACATCTGAAATTCTCCAATTCGGTTTCACTTCAGTACAGAAACACAGAATTCAGCTTTTCTGAACACACCCCATGGTGCTGGTGGCTGACTTACCGTCTATTTCTTGTCCGATGGAAAGCCCAGCCCATTTTCTCTGTAAAAACAAGACAAAACCATCAGAAATCTTGTCCTTCAGCAGAGCAAATGCCCGCTCAAAGCGAGCTCCTTCACCCAGAGAAGCAGCTCCCCCAGGAGAACCTGAAGAAGCAGCAAAAAAAGGACACAATGGGATTTTACAAAACAAATCCAAATTAAGCAGAAAAAAGTCAAAACCACGGAATTGTTTCTATTAATAATTCCATTTTCTGACCTCGAGAGGTTGTTCTGTCCAACCTCCTTCCTGTTACCAGTCACCAGAGCGCCACGGAGCAGAGGTTACCCTGCTGGACAGGGATTTTGTCATTCTGCTCATCTCCTCCCCCAGCTCGGTGCTGACCAGAGCAGGGGCTGTGTGACCAGCAGGAAGGGCTGCTCTACAGCCCAGGATCACTGGCAAAGCTGACATGGATACAGTAGTTGCAGGAAATTGTTGTAATGTGCCTTAGGTTATAAAATGACCTAAACCAAAACTTGTTCCGAGAACTAGTAAGAATGGAACTGTTCAAATCCCTTAGGTCCCTTCATATTCCTCTAAAAAAGATTTGTGCAGAAGCGGGAAATGGTTCGATAATTACGTGACACTAAAATCTATGACCTTTACTACGCCTGAAGTTCTGGCTTGGTAATTGCAGAAGTGGTATTTTTCCAATGGCTTTTGTGGCACGGGCTGGTTAGTGTATATTTACAGTCCACATCTCAGGCCATGCAGCTTTCACCGCCTCTCAAATATCGAAGCCTTAGAGAGGTGTGAATCACAAAAACACATAAGGATCGTTACACAATGCTCTGGTAAGATCACGTTTGAAATGTTGTACTTTGTGGTCATTTATATTTGGCTTTTTATCTGGAAGGAAGAAGTCTGGGAGAAGGAATACAATGACCTTTTTTTAAAAATGAAAATTCCCCCCTTTACTCCCTCTGCAATATGTTCGTGGTTCAAGACAGAAGTTGGGCTTTAGGAAGGAATCCCCTTGGCACAACAAGCTGATATAAATCAAAGCCCAGAGTGGGAAGCCTGATGGGTACTTACTGGTATTCCCAAGAAAGTGAAAACAAACTATGCTTCCATATTTCACCTCATGTTTTACAGCTCCCACTGCCTACACCCAAGGCCAGGGAGAATTCAGAGTCATAGAATGGTTTGGGTGGGAAGGGACTTAAAGCCCCCCCAGTGCCACCCCCTGCCCTGGGCAGGGACACCTCCCACCACACCAGGTTGCTCCAAGCCCCCTCCAACCTGCCCTTGAACCCCTCCAGGGATGGGGCAGCCACAGCTTCTCTGGCCAACCTGGGCCAGGCTCTCACCACCCTCACACCAAACAAGTTCTTCCCCACAGCTCAGCTCCATCTCCCCTCTTGCAGGGTCAAACCCTTCCCCCTCCTCCTAGGGCTCCCCTCCCTCATCCAGAGTCCCTCCCCATCTCTCCTGGAGCCCCTTGAGGGACTGGAAGGGGCTCCAAGGTCTCCCCGGAGCCTTCTCTTCTCCAGGCTGAACCCCCCCAACTCTCTCAGCCCCCCCTCCCAGCAGAGGGGCTCCAGCCCTCCCAGCATCTCCGGGGCCTCCTCTGGCCCCGCTCCAACAGCTCCATGTCCTTCTGCTGGTGGTGGCCCCAGAGCTGGAGGCAGCACTGGGGGGGTCTCCCCAGAGCGGAGCAGAGGGGCAGAATCCCCCCCTGGCCCTGCTGGCCACGGGGCTGGGGATGCAGCCCAGGGTGCGGGGGGTTTCTGGGCTCCAGCGCACGTTGAGGGGCGTGTGGCGCTTCTCAGCCACCAACACCCCCAAGGCCTTCTCCTCAGGGCTGCTCTCAATTCTCCCCTCCCCTGGACACTTCAGTTCTTCTGCAAAAGACCCCCTGGCCTTCCCCTCCCAGAGCACCAGCACTGCTGGACGGCCACCAGTGCAAGAACAGTGGGCAGGGACACTGGTACCTCTGCAAGCACCGGGCTTTGCCAAAACCCCCCAGGTTAAGCCTTTTGCCAAGTTTCAAGACAGAAGGAAAGCTGTCCAAGAGCTGTCCAAGGTCAGATAGGGAGGTTAGTTTGGATCTTCTCTATGGCAAGAGACACAGCTCAATTCAAGTCTCCATTTGGGTACACTGTGCTAAGAAGCGTGTCATCACTGCTCAGGCATCTTTCAGGCTCAGCAAATACTCAATTTTTCATGGCTTTCGGTACTTGGGCCGAAGAGTTAAGATTATTAGAGAATGAAGGCAGTCAAGAACTTTAAGTGTGTAATAAATGGACAACAGACTTGCTTGGAGGTGTTAGATCCTAAGTGCACATTACATGACCCTCCCTGAATACATGAGAAACACCCATTTTGTGTAACGCTGGTTGCATTTATCCAAGGCTTCAGGAAATACTTCAGGAAATACTGGGAATTGAATCCTAGCAGCAGGAACACTCAGGTAACACATTCTCAGACCAGCAGCCGTACACTTGCTGCCAGAGACACCTAAAAAGGGTTAAGCAACAAACCTCATTCCTTAGCAGAGGAGCCCTCCCAGCTTTTTGTAGATTTTGGAATGCACAAAAACCGAGCCCAGACCATGGGTGCATCTACTTTAACCCTGCGATACAAGTATCTTCTCCTGATAACTGGTTTTCAGTTTGGGCATCACAAACATAACCAGGCACATGGTTACCATAACATCCTCTTCACCCACTCGTACGGACAAATCTGAATTTGAACACGACATCAGAACGAAAAAAAAAAGTTCTGGGGCCTGTGCCAAGTCATCTGCTGAGGAAAAGAGATCTCGTGTTTGCAGCAGAGACTCAACTCCTCGGCCAGTTACCAGCAGGAAAATATCACAGCTACAAGATTCTTTTTTGCTATTTAGAATTGTATCAATTATTTATCCTAACCATCATTTAACATGTGATCTTAATTAAGAAAGAAGAGACAAGTGAAATGCCTTTTATGCAGTCAATAGAACAGGTCTTTGAAAAGAAGAACACGTCTTTAAAAGAGCAACACAGCAAGGAAGACCCTTTAAAGTCACAGGAAACCAGGGAACAATAAAAATTTAAAGAATAGCAGACATTGCTTAGGTTTAGCTTCTTAAATAGTTTTTTAAAAATAATTTAATTATTTTTAAATAGTTTTTAATAGTCTGTTTCTTGTGGGTTTTAAAAGCTTAAATTACACCTTTTCTAGTATTTTTTATCCCACCACACACTAAAAATAGATCAAGGTAATATCAGCAAGTTTGCTTCAGCAATAATAGAAGTCGACTTAATTTTTTCCTGTCAGAAATCAAATTTGCAGCATTGATTTATACAGAGGTCTCCCCCCAATTAAATAGTTATGTCCAACCCTGATCTGAAAAGAGATGTTGCTTGTTCTACAGCAGAGCAAAGTAGTACCTGGGGCAAGCTGAACGCGATGCTGCCGGGAACAACCGAGGAGTGGGTTCTCAGCGTGAAGATGTACTTGTGGTTGGGAGAAGTCTTCACAACAACGTGCCTAGGAGAGAGAAAAAACAGCATTTTATTCCAATATGTACCCAGCAGGATTCCACATCACTCCCAGTGCTGTGAGAATTCAGAAGAAAGAACCCAGCCTGTATCTGGTCCTGCACAGGGCACAGTCAAGGCTTCAGAGCTGCACCACGACCAGGCACAGCCACCTTCAGGGGAGTCCATCACCTTCCCTGGTACAACGTGATCCCAACGCCCAACTGCCAGACATCGTAATAATAATTACTATTTACATTCCTCCACCAACAGCTTTGGGAATTGCACTATACAATGCGAGAGAACCAAACAATAACCACCCAGACCTGCTGCTGTAGCTCATAACCAACTCTGGTTCCACATCTCAGGTGTCAATATTTTACCCCCACCCGAGCAGATACATCCTGGCCGTGATTTCAACAAGAAGCAGATGCAAAGCCTCCCGAGGATCTTAGCACATTGTTTAGAAGTCTGATCGCAGGAAAAAATGGAAGGAATTCCTGGACAAAGACTAAAACCACACATGGGCTGGGGCGGCTCCTCCTGATTGCTACTGGCCAACAGATCCTGAACTCAGACAGCTGAGGAGCAGGAACAGTTCTAGAAACAGAGAGCCAACCGTGTCCTGGGCTGCATCAGGAGAAGTGTGGCCAGCAGGTCTCGGGAGGTGATTCTACCCCTTTACTCTGCACTCGTGAGACCCCACCTGGAGCTCTGTGTCCAGCTCTGGAGTCCTCAGCACAGGAAGGACATGGACCTGTTGGAATGGGTCCAGAGGAGGGCCACGAGGATGATCAGAGGGATGGAGCACCTCTGCTATGAAGACAGGCTGAGGGAGCTGGGATTGTTCAGCCTGGAGAAGAGAAGGCTCCGGGGAGACCTTATAGCGGCCTTTCAATACCTGAAGGGTGCCTATAGAAGAGCTGGGGAGGGACTCCTTGCCAGGAGGTGTAATGATAGGACAAGGGGAAACAGTTTTAAATTGGAAGAAAAAAGATTCAGATTAGATCTCAGGAAGAAATTTTTTACTATGAGGGTGGTGAGACACTGGAACAGGTTGCCCAGGGAAGTTGTGGCTGCCCCATCCCTGGAGGGGTTCAAGGCCAGGCTGGATGTGGCTTTGAGCAACCTGCTCTGGTGGGAGGTGTCCCTGCCCAGGGCAGGGGGGTAGAACTCGATGATCTTTGAGGTCCCTTCCAACTCTACCCATGCTGTGATTCTATGAAACAGAACAACAAAGTCAGGAGGGGACACAGCAGCAGCTGCACGTCCCTGTCTGTCACTACCTGACACTGCCAGGAACAAAGATACCCAAAAGCTGCTTATAGTTATCCCCAGACTATGCCTGGGAGCTCCGCTCATGCGATAGGCAGACTCCTTTTTGGCATAAGATGGCGAAACAGAAGGGAGATGGGATTTGTGTGCTCTGGTGGCAGCGGCGATGGTGGAATCAGGTTCCACCTCATCATCTCAAGGGAGGTGATTCCACACCTTTACTTTGCTCTCGTGAGACCCCACATGGAGGCACTGTGTCCAGCTCTGGAGTCCTCAGCACAGGAAGGTCATAGACCTGTTGGAGTGGGGCCAGAGGAGGCCATGGAGATGCTGGGAGGGCTGGAGCCCCTCTGCTGGGGGGTTCGGCCTGGAGAAGAGAAGGCTCCAGAGAGACCTTATTGTAGCCTTCCAGTACCTGAAGGGGCCTACAGGAGAGATGGGGAGGGACTCTGGATGAGGGAAGGGAGCCCTAGGAGGAGGGGGAAGGGTTGGACACAGAAAGAGGGGAGATGGAGCTGAGCTGTGGGGAAGAACTTGTTTGGTGTGAGGGTGGTGAGAGCCTGGCCCAGGTTGGCCAGAGAAGCTGTGGCTGCCCCATCCCTGGAAGGGTTCAAGGGCAGGTTGGAGGGGGCTTGGAGCAACGTGGTGTGGTGGGAGGTGTCCCTGCCCAGGGCAGGGGGTGGCACTGGGGGGGCATTAAGGCCCCTTCCCACCCAAACCATTCTAGGATTCTATGATCTACTTGCCAACAGCCTGTGCTTTAACTACCGATAGTGTACACGAGGCCACCAGCTCGTGGTGTTCCCCTCTCACCAACCCTCTTACCCGTGGTCACAAACCAAGGGCCGGATGAACAGGCCCACGCTCCCTCCTGGCAGCACACGGATCACACCCACACACACTCCCTGCATTTTCATTTGCACACACAGAGCGAATCCAGCACCACACAAAAGCAGATGTGCTGCAGACGTATATGGTGACTACATGGTGTATGTGTAACAGCTTCAGCCACACAGAAGGACAGAACATACAGCCCCTGGAGAGCAGAGGAAATCCATGCCCTACACAGCCAAATCCATGAGACATCACCAGCGTCAGCCCAAACACACAGGGAACCTCACAAAACCCTTCCAGGAACTGGCAGCACGCGGTGGAACAGCAGGGTGAGAAAGTATTTTCAAACGTGTCCCACAGTGACACACACCTTCTCTGGCAGGTGACCGGTGATTTGACTCTTCCCTGATTCTGGCCCTAAATCACCCAATAGTTGCCTAAAACCCCAGCTGAGGGATGTGCACGCTTCCCTTCCCATCTCCTCCTGCCCCAGGATTCTGGATAAACGTGTTACAGGTGGTTTGCTCCACTCTAAATCTTACAGAGGGAGAGTAAGGAATTTAACGGTGCCTCACGGTGATCAGGGAAGGTTTCTGAGGACTGGGAGAAAGCAGATATCCCTCGTATCTTCAGGAAGGGCAAGAAGGAGGATCCAGGCTGCTCAGCCCCACCTCAGTCCCTGGGAAAGTGATGAAGCAACTAATCCTGGAAGCCAAGGGTATTACAGGACAAGAAAGTGGCTGGGAGCAGCCAGCATGGATTTACGAAGGACAATCAGGCCTGACCAATATGGTCAGGTGGACTGAAAACAACCCGAGCTGTCAGGGCTGAGGGCTGTGAACAGCAGCACCATGTCCAGCTTCAGGCAGCTCACAAGGGGTGCACCCACCCCAGGTGTCCCATGGGGCCAAAACTAATTAAACCCTTCATTCGTGAGCAGGGTGATGGGACAGACCTCACACTCAGCCAGCCTGCAGGTGACACACCTGGTGGTGCCACCCCTCAGAGGGACTCTGACAGGATGGAGACATGGGCTGACACAAACCCCATCGAGTTCAAGAACGGCAACTGCAAAGTCCTCCACCTGGGGAGGAGCAATCCCATGGACCAGTACAGGCTGGGGGCCAACTGGCTGGAAACTGGCTTTGCAGAAAAAGACCTGGGATCCTGGTGGACAATGAGTTGAACATGAGTCAGCAACACGCCCTTGCAGCAAAGATGGGCAACAGCATCTCCGGCTGCAGTGGGAAAGCTCTGCCAACAGGCCAAGGGAGGTCACAGAATGATGATCCTTCCCAGACTGAACGCTGCTCCAAGGACCATTTCATTTGAAATTGAGTAGTGGATAAAACAGAGAAGCTGCCCAGGAAGGAGGAGTGAAACCAGGAGGCTTCCAGCACAGGGCTGTGTATCAGCTTGAGTAATTCAAATTAATATTGATACAGAATCTCCTGGAAAGCAAGGTATTACACTGCAGAGGGCGAGGCAAACACGCCCGGAGGCAAAACACGAGCTCCAGCCACGCTCCTGGAATATCTCACCAAGAAATGCATTTGATGACAAGTAACACCCGACTAGAAACTGCTCATCAGACAGGAAAAGAAGCGAGATTAAAGCTTCTTAAGCCCGAGATGGATCCTGAGCAGGGCTCGAGGTCTGTCTCGAGACACAGCAGTGACTGTAACGTGGGTCGATTCGGCGTCTCGGCAGGAAAGAGCAAACTCCACTGTGGCTGGGCTTCACGTCAAAGCAGCAAAATGCAAGAAAATTTGGATACCTGGGGAGGAGGGGGGAGGTTATCCACAGAGATTTGATTAAAATTACTACATACCATTCCCCAAAAACATTTCCAGCAGCTCAGAAACACAGCAGAGCCTGGCAGCAGGCAAAGGGATGCCAGGAAGAAAAAATAAAAAATAGAAGAAAAAAGAAAAGATCAGATTTCTGAAAGAAATCTCTAGTGAAGTGAGAAGATTTAGGAAAGGTCAGATCCTGAGAGGTTCTTTGAGAAAAATCTCCAAAAGGCCCAGGAACAACCATGTTTCTCCTCAAAGACAGCAGGAGCAGGCAGTTTCCAGCAGGCTGTAAGCAACCTGAGTAGTAAAAACTTTCAAAATAAGGCAATAGCAGGGAAAACTAAATGCATTTTTCTCCCTTGATGTTCTCCAAGAAGGAGCTCATGGAGACACGTGGAGGAAATCTCAACCTCATTAACAGCTTCTGCTTATTAGGACCAATGAGTCACCAGGGCCAGACACCTCCCAGCAGCTCTAGGAGATGAAACTGCTGCTGGAATTCACGTGTAAGGTCTGGCCTGAACCCACCAGAACCAAACCACAGCCTGATGCCAATCCAGCTCCAGGCTGGGCTCAGGACACTGACGGTTGGTTCATCTGCTGCCAGCCTGGGCAAACCAAGGGAAACCACAGCAGATAACATTAACCTGTGTGTCCTCTAGTTTTTACGTTTGTGAAGAAAGAGCACAGCTTTTCTAAGAGAGGGTAACATCTATATCCATGCAAAGGTGCCCCTGAGCACCTGGGCAACATGGGCAGATATTCCTCTGGTGTGCGTTTGGAAACCCACATCAATTATTCTGCAGTGGTCCACGAGGGCTCTCCAGAGAACCTGGCATAAGATAAAATGGATGGTTTTCCCAGGTAAAAGGCAGGGATAAAAGGTAAGAATAATTATTCTGCTCTCAACATAAGGCTCTCCAGAGAACCTGGCATAAGATAAAACGGATGGTTTTCCCAGGTAAACGGCAGGAATAAAAGGTAAGAATAATTAGTCTGCTCTCAACACTAAAAAAAAATAATGCCATTGAGATAACCTGGCCTGGCTTCCTCCCAGTTGTCCCTTTCACTGCCTGGGTGCTCTCAGCACTTGCTTCTCTCTCCAAAATACGTTGGGAGTCCTCAAGCTAGGAGGATGTCTCAGGAGCTCAGGAGAGTGGAACTCACCAAGCCAACACAGTGCTCTAATAACGCCTGGTGTTCCATGGGGGTGAGTGTGAGCTCACGCGTCACAGAACGGTGACTCACACTCACCCAACTTGCAGGATGGGGAAAACAAAGCATGAAAAGATCTACAGTCGCATCTCGGGGATAAAGCAGCTCAGAGATCCAAGGTCAAACCCCCAGCTCTAGACCAGGAGCACCAAATGGAAGCGTTAAGGCAAAGCCCTGTGTGTGTTCCCAGAGTGATGCCGTGCAGCCAGTCACAGTTCGGACGGTAGAATCATAGAATCATAGAATGGTCCAGGTTGGAAGAGACCCTTGGGATCATCGAGTCCAACCATCTCCCCTACTCTACAAAGTCCTCCCCTACACCATGTCCCTCAGCACTGCATCTAAACGGCCCTTAAACACAGCCAGGGATGGGGACTCCACCCCCTCCCTGGGCAGCCTGTTCCAATGCCCGACCACTCTTTGGGTGAAAAATTCCTTCCTAATGTTCAATCTAAACCTCCCCTGTTGGAGCTTGAAGCCGTTCCCTCTCGTTCTGTCACTAATTACCTGTGAGAAGAGACCAGCACCAACCTCTCTACGTGTCCTTTCACGAAGTTGTAGAGAGTGATGAGGTCTCCCCTCAGCCTCCTCTTCCTCACACTAAACAGCCCCAACTCCCTCAGCCGCTCCTCATACGATTTGTTTTCCAGCCCCCTCACCAGCTCCGTTGCCTCCTCTGCACTCGCTCCAGCACCTCCAGATCTCTCTTGGATTGAGGTGCCCAAAACTGGACACAACACTCGAGGTGTGGCCTCCCCAGTGCTGAGTACAGGGGCACAATCACCTCCCTACTTCTGCTGGTCACACTATTTTTGATACAAGCCAGGATGCCATTGGCTTTCTTGCCCCCCTGGGCACACGGCCGGCTCATATTCAGCCGTTTGGCAACTAGAACCCCCAGGTCTCTTTCCTCCAGGCAGCTTGCGGGCAACCGACTGCAGCAGCTCGTGAGGATGGTCCTGCTCTGTCTATCTGCAATGCAGCAGGATGACTACATCCTTCAGCAGCAGCTGAGTGTCGTGATGCTTCTCTGTGCTCCAGCCTCGCACTGTTCAGAGCGATTTATAGCATCTGCTCAGTACCAAACATATGCTGCTTTCTCTGCGAGCCCCCATTTCTAGAAATAAGCAGCTCTCGGGGAGAAGGGGTACAGCCAGACCCATGGCCAGTCGCTCACCAGGCACGTCCCGGGGTGGTGTGTCCTGCACGTTTCCAAAAATGAATGAAAGAAGGTTCACAGAGTGCAAGGAAAGAGGCTGCTGCTGCAGCTCTGGAAGCTGGGTCCCTTCAGGACATTCGGATTTGAGGAAATTAACATTTTTATAATGCATGAGGTACAATGCTCAGTTCAGGTATTTTTGTAAGTCAATTACTTCAAAAAGTATCTACCTGGGAACAAGTATCATTTGAAGAGACCAGGACGTGTCACCCTGTCCAAGAGGATACTTTCACCTGCTTCTGCCTCTAAAAGTTGTGCTCTTTTAAAAAAGATTTTTCTTCTGGGAGGAGGGGTGGTTTTGTTTTGGAATTTTATACCTAAGTCGGGCTTGTGAAATCCCAGTGCAATCCCCAAAGGGCCAGGACAGCTCTCCAGGGCAGCAGCGCAGCGGAGTGACAGCACAAAAACCATCAAATCTTAACCCACACCGCTCCCTTGGTCCCCACAGGTCAGAGCCACCTCATCCTCCAGCCTTAGTGGAATTCACCTGGGTCAGACATTCCATCCCAAGGCCCTAAGTGAAGCCCTCAGTATCTTTTTTTAACATTTTTTTCCTCAATTTTCAAACCCAAGCTCTTTTGCTTTCTGCTGCACGTGATGCTCTCTCTGCTGAAATTAATTATTTCTGTCTATAATCTACATATTGGAATCTTTTAGAGAGCCATCGTACAGTTGCAGCAAAGCAAGGGAACTAATTATCTGAATTGGCTTTTTTTAATACAAAGCCCTTCTGCGTGGGCCGGGCTGAGAAACTGATGTGTTTTCTTCTTTTTTCATAAAAGTAAAATCCAGAGTCAGCTGCTATCAGTCACCACAGAACTGGAATTAAAGAACCCAAATTGTTGTGCCCACACCCTGGGTGTCTTCCCCTTTCACTCTGGTGCTTGAAAACCCCGAGAACAGGAGAGAGTTTCTACCAATTCTGCTGAGCTCTCCAGTGCAACGTGAAAGTGAGATGTCCCCAGTAAAACAATTAAATGATAAAAATCTACTTGAAATAGCTCAAATATTCTAACTACGTAATAGGAATAACAGCAAAAAAAAATTAAAAGAAAAAAAAAAGATCAAAAGAGGCCTGAAGTCCTTCATTAAAACAGCGATCATAATTAGTTAAGCAAACCCAGTTTCTGAGCAAAAAATGCTTCAGAGAAAAAAATACCTTTTTTTTTTTTTCAGTATCTCCAGTTCTGACAAAGAGGCACATCTCAAGGTTTGGTCTCTAAAGAAGCAGAAGTTTTTTTAATTAACCCACTGTATTCACCTTCGCAAATCTGAAATTCCATTCCACCTCCATCCAAATTCTGAAAAAAAATTCCTTTTTTGGTTAAAAGTTGAAAGAGCAAGAGTGCACACTTACTGCCCAGATGGGAAGTCCTTCTCGTTCACCACAGCGCAGTTGGTTAATGACAGCTCATCAGTGGGACATCTCGCTGCTTGCATGGACTACAGAGAGAAAGAGGGAGAGGAAAAAAACTATCAAGTCAAATATTACTTTTCCATTACTAAGCCTCAAAACTTCTGTAAATCCATAAAACACAAACAGGTGTCATGAGTATTAACACTGAGAGCACAGTCCCCTGGCAATGACAAGCTCCTCTGTCACGGCTTCTCCAAACGCTTCTCTTTGATACAGATGTTTGTACCCCAAACCCATTGTCTGAGTCTAATATACCTTAGGCTTTTTATCACACCTGGGGAAGTACCTAAAATCACCTCGATACTTTGGCACAAGACAAATGCTGAGAGAGTTGGGGGGTTCAGCCTGGAGAAGAGAAGGCTCCGGGGAGACCTTCCAGCCCCTTCCAGTCCCTCAAGGGGCTCCAGGAGAGATGGGGAGGGACTCTGGATGAGGGAGGGGAGCCCTAGGAGGAGGGGGAAGGGTTTGACCCTGCAAGAGGGGAGATGGAGCTGAGCTGTGGGGAAGAACTTGTTTGGTGTGAGGGTGGGGAGAGCCTGGCCCAGGTTGCCCAGAGAAGCTGTGGCTGCCCCATCCCTGGAGGGGTTCAAGGGCAGGTTGGAGGGGGCTTGGAGCAACCTGGTGTGGTGGGAGGTGTCCCTGCCCAGGGCAGGGGGTGGCACTGGGGGGGCTTGAAGGTCCCTGCCAACCCAAACCATTCTATGATTTCATGATTCTATGAACTTGCTAGAGAACTCTGGTGTTCATGCCACGTCCTGAACCCCACAGCAAAGCACTCACTTGGAGCAAAGCACTCACTCACATCTCCTGCCAAACAACAAGATATTGGGATATTCTGCAAGCTGGTAAAGGCAAAGCAGCCTAGGGACAGACCAGTTCCACTGCACCCCTGGGTACCCCTATGCTGTAACACTGTGTTGGTGTCGAATCACAGAATTGTTTCAGTTGGAAGGGACCTTTCAGATCATCAAGTCCAACCACCAACCCAGCACTGCCCAAACCACCACTGACCCATGTCCCTCAGCACCACGTCTGCCTGGCTTTTAAATACCTCCAGGGATGGTGACTCCACCACTGCCCTGGGCAGCCTGTTCCAAGGCTTGACAACCCTTCCCATGAAGAAATGTTTCCTAATATCCATCCTAACCCTCCCCTGGTGCAACATGAAGCCATTTCCTCTTGTCCAAATCCACATCCATTCCAGACACACTCCACACAAGGCCGCACAGAGCAGCACTGAGAGTCCATGGCAAGGTGTCATTCTCAGCCAGCTCATACCCAACTCCACGGAATCTCTCCATAAAACTTCTCAAAAGAACTATCACAATATAAATAATATTTCTTACGCTATAGAAAACATCACAAATAAGTAAAAAACAGAAAAAAATAAAGTTAAACAGGCATTTCCAGCCTATCACTCTTTAAAAAAATCACTGCAACAAATTTTGTGGGGTGTCCTCCCCATCTGTTTTTTTTTCCCTAAAGTCAAAGGAGCAATCCTATTTCAAGTGTATCTGTTCAGTTTTTTCCCCCTCACAAATCAGCAGGTGAAATAACCAAATAGCACCAGTCTCAGCCCAGGCTGCCCCATCCCATCACATGGAGTAACCAAAGAGAAACCTCAGCCCTTCCCACATCCCCACCACCTCCTGCTTCCGTGGAGTTATACCACAAAATAGTGGTTGAAAGGTGAAAACTGGGCTCAAAATGCCTCTGGAAGTGGAGAAAAGGGTGGAAATGGCAGGATGTCTCTAACATAAGATATAGACTGAAAAAACAATTTGGAGAAAAGCTCCAGGATAACCCCCAGGATGTTATTTTTAGAATCAAAGCACATCTAATTCCTTTGTCAGACACAGATCTGCAGGCAGGGTCAGTGTCCACCTATTGCTAAAGCAATCCAGAGTGGATTTTCTTGCAAGACACCCTTAAATCCCAGCAAGAAGAAAAGAAAATGCTCTGATCCCAACGCACACATCCGGATAATTTCCCATGAGTTACCCTCCTGAGCAGCCTTTCCCCCCCGACCCCTTTGGGCCATCTGAGAGAAGAATCAGAGAAAACTCATCTCCCCGTGGGCTGCAGCTCCCTGCCCTACAGCTCAAACCAACCTTTTATGTCCTAATGTCATTCTTCTTGAGGATGTGCTATTTAGAAATGGACTAATTCATTATTTCTATTGAATAATGTTCAATTGCCCTTGATTGATGTGACGAGAGAAAAGGATTCTGTTTTCAGCCTTGAAACAGATTTATCTACCTGAATCTCAAGTGTAATAAGAGACTCAAATATTCTTGTAATAAAAAAATATACGAACATGAATGGACTTATGGAATCCATGACCTCCAGCTAAAGCTCACCGTCTTTTGGCACTTCACACAAAAAAACATTCACCATTTTCTCATTTCTCCTTCCGCCTGCGAGGGGACTCTTCTGTGAAGGGCATGCCCTGATAAAACGCATTAGGTGGGATATTTCTGGAGAAAACTGAACGCAGAGCTCCTGGATTAAGCCTTTTTACAGCACTAGTCCTCGACTGCATTTTTAATCCTCGCTGACAAACTGCTTCCCACTCGTTAACAGCGAGCGCCTGGCAAAGTCATCGTCGTTCTGTGTTATTCCCATCCCCGGGAATGTGCGGGCTCTGCTTTATGGAAACACAGGAATCTGAAGGAAAGCACTTCAAACCCGGCACCACGTGCTCCTGACAGCAGCTCCACAATAGGACAGACGGGGGGCAGAGCATCCCTGGGGACCTGGGGTGAAAGAACAGAGCTGCTTGGGCAGCAGTTCCTGCACTGATTGTGCTGGCCATCCCCCTAGCCTGGCACCCTCTGCTCCCACTGGGCTAGCCATCCCCTAGCCTGGCACCCTCTGCTCCCACTGGGCTAGCCATCCCCTAGCCTGGCACCCTCTGCTCCCACCGGACTAGCCATCCCCTAGCCTGGCACCCTCTGCTCCCACTGGACTAGCCATCCCCTAGCCTGGCAGGCTCTGTGCTGGGGAATCTGGCAGAAGCCCACGTCTCCCTTGGCAATGCCCGATGTCCCAGACCCAGCCCGTGCTGTGCTCTCAGCTCCCCAGTATTTGCCCTCCTCAAGCTCCAAGACCATCCTGCAGAACCGTGATACATCACCAACACACACGAGTGTTTCACACACCAATACAGCTCGGGCACGAAGAAACAGGCGTCACTCAGCGGGTGCAAGTTTCCATGAGGGCACAAAGGACAATTCGAGGAAATCTGGTCGTTTAAGAGATGATGATGAAACTGGAAACCACCCAGACAAGGAGGAACGTGTTCTAGTGAACTGCAGGTGCTTCCTCTTGCCCTCCCTCACCCAGCGCCCACATCCCCAGCACGACGGCTCACGGGGATCTCCTCGTGGATCCCCTTGTGCTGTCACAGCCAGGACGTGGGCACTGGCTCCTCCCGAGGAAGTTTTTCTGGCATAACCACAGCAGCCCAAAGCCATAACAGGGGCTACCAGAGCACTACCAGGTGGTACTGCCAAGGAACACTCCAACCTCTTGCACTTTGGGGTCCAGCTTCCCAGGACACCGCTACAAGGACTCTGGGAACCCTCTCCATCACCCACCACTGACCATGTGTCAGGAACAGGGGAAGCAAAACCCTTAAGAGCATTTGTAAGAATCCTTCAAGTATATTTACAGAACCGGGCCGGGCAACGGAAAGCCCAGCTCCAGCAAACCACTCCAGCAGATCCTGCAGCGACAGTGAATGCCATCTGCTGCAGTGACACCGCCGTCAGAACTGCTCTGAAGGTGACCCAGATCCATCTTCACAGCTTGCAGTTACAGCCGTCACCACAGCAGAGACTCATTATATATGTCCTGAGACCTCCCCCTCCCAGTGCTGCCTCCAGCTCAGGGGCCACCACCAGCAGAAGGACATGGAGCTGTTGGAGCGGGGCCAGAGGAGGCCCCGGAGATGCTGGGAGGGCTGGAGCCCCTCTGCTGGGAGGGGGGGCTGAGAGAGTTGGGGGGTTCAGCCTGGAGAAGAGAAGGCTCCGGGGAGACCTTGGAGCCCCTTCCAGTCCCTCAAGGGGCTCCAGGAGAGATGGGGAGGGACTCTGGATGAGGGAGGGGAGCCCTAGGAGGAGGGGGAAGGGTTTGACCCTGCAAGAGGGGAGATGGAGCTGAGCTGTGGGGAAGAACTTGTTTGGTGTGAGGGCGGTGAGAGCCTGGCCCAGGTTGGCCAGAGAAGCTGTGGCTGCCCCATCCCTGGAGGGGGTCAAGGGCAGGTTGGAGGGGGCTTGGAGCAACCTGGTGTGGTGGGAGGGGTCCCTGCCCAGGGCAGGGGGTGGCACTGGGGGGGCTTTAAGGTCCCTTCCCACCCAAACCATTCTATGATTAGACTTAAAGTAGCAAACCAAGTCTCCCCTGCCTCCAGTTACTGTTCTGGTTGATGCAAGGAAGAGTCTCCAAAGACAGCAAAGTTCTAGGGGAGGTGACTCCACGTATGAGACAGTGTCTTCATCTCAGCGAGAGGCATCCACCATCAGTGATGCAGCATCTGCTCCTAAATCCATGTCTACGCACATGTCTACTCCAATTCTCCTTCTGTTCACCAAAAGAAAAGGAGATGACACGACGTACCCATAAATCTCATGCTGAAAGACAACTGTGAAGGACCTCACCTTTGGATTTCTGACAAAGCAGTAACGTTGTCTCTACTCTTCTGCCACCAAGCTGATGCTAAACCCAGCGCCAGGAGGATCACTGACACTGACATATTTTACTTTTGCAAATAAAAGCTGCCCCAAAGAACAAACAGCTTCATAACAGAAACACCCACCAGAACATCGCATCTTTCAGAGATACTTTTTTTTTTCCAAATTTGCATGGATTCCAGTTTCCCTCCACAAAAATATGAAACTGAATTATGCTTGTGTTTCAGGAGAGCTCAGCCCAGAAAGCAAGACTAAGTTATTTGGATATTTGCACAGATACCTAAAACACACCTTTTCTCCTTCTGAATTTCAAAACAAGCACCTGAAGCAAA